CTAAGCGTGAAAAGCCGGATAGGGAATGATTTTCAGTTTTTGACAGCCCTCTCATCTGTGCCTGGCAGCATCAATTGTGCTGATCTTTCTCCTAGACTCCTAGACCCGTCGCTGTGAAGCCTTGCAAGCCTTGTGCGAGTTGCGAGCGTCGAAGCAGGCCCGCACCACCCCAGCACCACCTCTGTGCCTCACCGTGCAAGTCTTTCTGAAGCATACAGTCAGACCTGAAAGACTGCGCGAGATTTACACGCCTCCAATCCTCGGGCCTGAGATCGCAAATCTGAAATCTGAGACCTTGCACCCCGAAGCCCCAGCTTTTCCAGCTGTTTGCGTCAAAGCGCTGAATAGTGTGTGATGGAGTCCGACTGAAGACCTATGGCATTACCATGCGCTGAGCCGCGCATGGGTCTGCAAAAAAAACCTAGCTTTCAACCGGCCTCACCCCAAAGCATATAAACGCTAGATGCTGAACCCTTTTTCCGAATCTGAGCACCGTCCACGTTTGATGGTATAGGCTATTTTGGGGAGTTTCTCTAGCATAGGTTCGCAGAATATCACCGGAGTAGCACATGAGTCACAGGCGTCTTTGAAGTGGCAGATGCGTGTCTTTAAGGTGTCTTACATGGGTATGAAGGCAGCAGAGGTTTAGTAACAAAGGCGAGGACAGTGAACCTGCTCCACCTGGTGAAGCGTCGGAGCCCCTTGTCAAAGGCATTGGTGTACACGTGTCTGTACTGAAACAGTCCAAGTATGCTCCCGCAGTTGTCGTTTTCTCCTCCATTGCTTACAGTCTTACTTGCAGTGCTCGCGATGTTAATGTGATAAAGGATTCTAGCTCGGTATCGGAACGTGGCATCGGTCCGGCGTGATTGCGGTTTTCTACGTCATTAGCTTGTCCTAGGAACTGGCAGCCCGCGCCCACGGACACTATTACGCGCCTTGGCGCATCTATTGCCCCAGCTTTCCGCATATGCATTTGATCATTCCATGTCAGAGAGAAAGATGTAGGTAGGTACAAACGTACGTATGTGCACTTATCAGGTTCATCTGCGCCTTGGGTGCAATGGGGAGCTTTCGCAATCCGGGAACGATCAAACAGCCCTGGGGTAGATAATGGCATAGTTACAGAGGGACTGCAAGGGGATGCTATGTCAGTTTGTTCGGAGGATTGGAGGACGAAGAAGAGGACTGGTCATTGCCATGTTGTAAGGGGCACGGCACCGGGATCTTCATATGCCACCGATATTGTCACGGTTCGTCTCCACTAAACAACTGCTCCCCCACTCGCCCGTCGCTCGGGATAGATGCAGGGTGTGCCGCATCAGTGCAGCATCTATTGATGTTTATGGACATGGACTGGAATGAGGGAGTGCGCATGTTGGGTTATTTTCTGCCTTCTCTTGCTCTGCAAGGCTCAGCCAGATGCATGAACATCAGACGTAAGTTGAGGTTCTAACGAGGGACGGTTTAGGGTGCGTTGCGAAGCCAACCAATTGTCCTGGCGCTCGTGACCCGGCCACCATCCCAGGAAGTCGCCCTGGATGAAGAAAGCCTTGCTTCTGGGTGGCACGTGGGAGTTTCGGAAAATTAGGAATCCCATTTACGAGGGCCGTTTTGCTAAAATCCAACTTTTTTCGCTTCCCTGTGTTTTCTGAAAGTGCCACACCTGGCCATCTAGGCTCTAGGCACATGGTTTGGCAACAGTGTTTCAGAGAGATAGGCTTGGTGATGTTTGGGTGTCGTCGAAGTGTTTCAGGTATTGTTTTGCGCTACGCATACACTTGCAGTTGATCCGCTCGAAGTGATTGTCAAGCCCGGCAGCCCTAAACAAACGAACTTCAATCATGAGCACAGCATCCCTGACTGTCTCTTTGGTCTGCCTGGTTTACGGAGAAGCATAGTTGGTGCACAAGTCGGTCCCCGGTTTCCAAGGTTAGATTGACTCGCTTGAGTGATCTTCTAAGTTATAGGCGGCAAGCTCAAGGCAGAGAGAGAAGCCCATGTTTGGTGGTCTCTGAGTACTGTCCAGGGTATGCGCTGGAAACGCTCCTTCCGGTCCGGTCGATGCTTAACAATCCCTAGGGCTCCAGTTATTAGGTTACTTGGGGTACACAACATATAGTTGGTAATGTAGGTACTAGGGAACTGGAGGTTCAGAGAAGAGAAGCCTTTTGGACGCCAGGAAGAGCGTGAAGGTGAGTCTCCCCCTGGTGGCCGTGAGCGGAACCCAGGCCAGACCAGGGTTGCCTTTGAAGGGTTTAGGTTCTAGGGTTGTTTTGGGTGTAGTCCAGGTGCAAAAGGGTTGTTTTGGGCGGAATGTGATGGGCAGAGTCGGACGAGTTTCAGTTTTTCCGGGCATTCCGACACAGGCACACTTGTTGGGGGCCCTGATTACTAAATTACACGCAAAATCCTTCTGGTCTACTGGTAGGCAGGCTTTGGGCTTCCAAGGCTCCTAGGCACCTCCAAGCACGCTGTGTTACAAAACAGGTGGTCATCTGGCGCCTTGAGGAGCAGTTGAGTGGAGCCATCAGCGGCTGGGAAGCCCTTCTCAAGGACGGATTTGGGTTCCAGGGAGCACTGAGAAGTCTGGACCATGGGTTCGTTGCGGTTCGTGCCTGGGGCTTCGGGTGGGGTCAGGCTTGAAGGCAGCGTCTGACCACTTCGGATCGCTAATGCGAAGCTCCATCGGTGTGAGCATGCACTGGATTGAAGTTCCAGAGTCCGACTGCTTCCAGCCACCAACTGGTGTTAAGGCCTCCGCGTGATACCTGACGATTACAATCTTTTTAAAGCACTGATTAGCTCAAGCCTGATGCCTCACTGATGAGTTGTCATAGAACCTATTTATGGCTTGCCGACTCCAAATTCAATCCTGTGCAAGTGGTACTACGAGGCTGATGTATTTCAAGCATGTCCGTGGAAGGATGCAGTAGCACACCGTTCGTGAAAACCGGATCCGAGCATCTCAAGTTCAAGGCTTCGAACTACCTTGACGGCCGGAAATGTTTGCCCTCAACAGCTGACCAACACACCGAGTTTGGTTTCTTGGTATTCTTAGCCTCAGGACTTGACTACAAGTGTTCTGGCACGAGACTAGATCAGCTGGCAGCGGAAACCCGCAAGGTCCGTGACACAAAATGCCCAGCTAGGGTACAGACCTCCTTCCTTGCCAGGAAATCGCCTGGGATGGGACCTTCACGCAGAAACGTGTGTGGCCACGAACAGGTCCCACAGGCAGCTTGCATGGGTTCGTCCAGGGGGACGGGATTGCGATTCAGGCCGGGGATTCTGTTGAATTCGCGGATGCAGCTGTGTCATAGTTATGCTTGCATCACAACGTTCTCAGGCACATGCAGCGGCTTGATCCGGAATCGCTGGATCCGGCTGACAACCTGACCTCCCCGCCCTAGATGCCTCAGCACAGGAGTGATGTCCAAGAAGGTGCAGGAGGCGGGTGGATACCTTGACTGCTGCCAGTTTGTTCGGCGAAGTTCGGTTCGGCGGGTTCGGATGTGGAAAGCTTATTCGAAGCACTTCCAGCATGTGCTGCACGCTTGTCGCATTGTTTCTCTGTCTTCATCCGGGTACGGAAGATGAAGTTGTGAAGCCGGAATCACTGGAGACATGTAGCCTTGACCTTGTTTCCGAAGAACTGCCTTTGATTCAACTTTCATATTGAGGGGTTTACGAACACCCAGCGCAGCTTCAGAGGAAGGCTTAACACGGTAACAGGGCGAAGTACGGAGAAGAAACGATGTACACCGAATCCCTACTAAAGCCGTGGCAATGATCCAAGCACCTTCTTGCAAGGCGGTGTTCCTCATGATCAGGGAGGCATCACTCCTGAGGACTTCAGCTTGAAGGGTAGACTGAGAAATGGGTACCATAGAGACTCGGAGCGGCATGACGGTTTGCTTGGAAGTCGTTTGTTTGAAGTTTCAATCGCCAGACCAAGGCGTTTTCTTGCAGAGTCCCTCTGAGAATGTCTAGGAGCCACGTCAACTTCATTTCCGCCATCCTCGAGACGAAGCTAAACCTGCGAGTGGCAGTTCGGACGGCAGAGGACCCGAAACAGAGTACCGTATGACATCGGCTTCACAGGAAAGTGTTGCCGGGGCTCTCGGAGCCCAGCTCGTTTCATGTGACCAGAGTCTAGGGAACTTGTTATGTACTTGTGCGCATACACATATGCACAAACGCATGCGTGGACACACACACACACACACGCGGACATTCATGCATGCCATGATATGTACATAGATATATATTACATCTATATATATATATATATAAATACATACATGCATGCATGCATGCATGCATGCATGCATGCATGCATGCATGCATACATACATACATACCTACCTACTTACACACGCATATAAATAGATAAAGGTATGTATGTGTGTATTTATATATATATATATATATATATATATAGGTGTGAGTTCTGAGAGTTCAACGTGACTCTGTTGGTCTAGTCGTTGTCTTCTGAGTTCCTTGCCTGACCTCGTCGAGTGCGAGTGCAAAAATACATATATACATATACACATATATATATAATATAGCTTCATCCGATTCCATGTATCATGCAAGCATCAAGGCAAGCCTCTACCTTCTACACGTAATGCGTAGATAGAAGCCCAAAACGGCCACAGCGCTCGTAAGCAGAGGCCATGTGCGGAGTCGCTTGCAAAAGCTCGCGTTCTGGTAACAGTAGAGTTCCGGACTCCAGGTGATACCGTGAAGATACGGACTTGGCAGGATTGGCATATTGGAATCCCGACACCCTTGCTGCCAGAATCGGCGACTGCCGCATGCCAAGTGCATGACTTTCCATGCCGCCGAATGCCAGATCATCCTAAGTCCGAGAATGACCGTTCGGCTTTAAGCGAACTCCGTAAGGAAATTGAGCATCCAAGCGCTCCAAGACTCTAATGACAAACACCGAATCATATTCATATACCTGAAGAAGCTGAAAGGATCTGGTCCGTCGCATGGATCTGCTCGTGCAAAACTTCGATGCTATGGATCAGGCGACAAGAGAGGGCTTTTGGGCTCTTGTAGTTTTCTGGCGGTGTTTTCGATTTTGGGGTACTTAGGCCCTGGGGAGCGGAGCAGCAAAGGCCTGGACTTTCGGGGTGCGCTGTCTTGCCCATCCCTGATACAGGGTTTAGGGTTTAGGGTTGTCGATGAAGTCAAGGTTTCGATGCCGGAATTTTTGGTGGATGTTGCATGAGGGCTTCCTGAAGAATTAGCGGCAACCGGCGCTGCATACGGTTGAGCAATGTCGATAATGACAGGATTCCACAAAGGTTGCAAGCACCAGAGCCCAGAACCCAGCTGGAAAGCTGCTGGAAAGCTGTGAGCACTGGACACTTCCTGATGCCAAGCTCAGCACTCCGAAGCCCAACCACGACAAGTCGACCTGAGGCTCAAGGTTACTGGACAGTGCTGTACTGTACAGAGACGGTCGTAGAGTCTTAGACGGTGAGGCCGGAGGTACACGCGATGGCAGTCATGAGCAGAAGCCTGGTGCGGGCTTTGGAGGGCATGCTTCTACTAGCCGTGCTGTACGAGCCAGTTAGGCAAGCACTGATGCCAACTGGATTGCCTGTCGGTGGGGTCGGTGGCGTTGGTGGTCTTGTCAACCTGGACGGTCCCAAGTTTTGCACCAGGCTATCAGGACGCTCTGACCAGTACTGTTTCTTTCCTGGTGTCTTTGCAGGCTTCACTGCCATGGCATTGATTGTGACTGGCTTGTGGTGTGCGCCGCTGGTTCTTGGCGCCGCCAGAATGGCAGTTCACAAGGGGTCGGCGAATTTCACTGCAACAGATGCCACGACCGCCTTCTCCGGAAGCGAGGCATCTGACAAGGTCTGGATGAAAGCCTGGGTCTTTGTCTCTTGGTTGTGGTTCCTGTTGCCCCTTGTGCAGTTCCTATGGGATCCGTTCTTCCGCAGCGGCTTTGTTGCTGTCGCGTGTGCGGTGTCGCTGGCGGCGGCCTATGCTCTGAGCTGGCATTTGGCCTTTGTTGCCATTCCCGTGAGCGATGCAGTAGCTCCGTGCTTAGGGGTACCACGCAGTGCTGTGTTTGAGTTCCATAAGAAAGTTGGCTGCTGGACAGCCGTGTGGGGGGCAGTGCACGCTGTGGGACAGATGATCTGGTTCATCGACAAAGGCTTGTGGACCTACATAAAGCTTTCATCCCCTTCAGATGGTGAGAACATGCTCTACATATTTGGCATGGTCACCGCTTCACTGCTGTTGATCCACACCCTGATTGCATCTCTTCGGAAGCAGCAGTGGCTGGCTAGCACCTTCAAGAAGGTTCACCGCTTGCTGGCTTCTTTGGTGTTGCTGGCCGCAACCGTGCACTGGTGGCCCTTCGTTCTTTTCTTGCTTCCTGCAGTCGCTGTCCACAGCTGCACTGCTGCAGAGACGCTTGCTGCAGCTCTCGGCCGCTCACCCAGCGCAGCGCGGCACAGCTGGGCCCTTGTCGGAGCCTTCTTTGGTGGCTTCGTTGGCCTTGCTGTCGTGTGGTCGGCTAGACAGACCGTCATGAGTCGCCAGGATGTAGACATGATGCTGCCGTTCATATTCCCACCCCTAGCCCTCTTGGCAGAAGCCCTGAGTGCGACAATCGTAGCTTTCCTGCTGTGTGCGTCTGGACCGAAAGCACTTCCAGCATCACAGGGTGCAGCGCTGATGCACTGAGCAATGCTGCGATTCCAGCACCGGTCGCTCTTTCAATTTTTCGCCAATACGGCCAACACATGCCTCAAGGGCATGGCACCCAGCGAGCTGCTTTTTCAGATGTCTTGGCATCGTCACACTTGCATCAAGCTTCCGGCTGCTGCTGGAAAGCACAGGTCTGAGACCAATGGAGAGGGGTGAGCTCCAGTCCAATTTTGGTCGTCAATGTGAAAACAACGTGCAGCAATCCCATACGTGCATCCAGCCCCAACATAAACAGTTCATCGTGAAGGCAGTGATGACAAGTATAACTTGTAGCCGCAGAAATTCCAGCCAGGTACTCGACGGCATGAAGCCTTCGAAGGTGCCGTCGCGTTTCCGGCGCCGACTTCAGAAACGGGCCGTGGGCTGAGCTCTCTTATTGTCATGGAAAGTCACCAAAAGTTGCTCTTGAGAGTCGAGAATTGCACAGGCTTTGACGTGTGATATACTCTGCATCCTTGATCTATTTTGGCACCGTACAAAACATTTCGACCAAACGTTGAAAGCTGCCTCGAGTCAAAGTTGGAAATCAGCGGTCGGCAGCGCCGACATAGTATGGAGGTCCAGTATCAAAGCTGCCGTAAACTGGGAGTGTGCATGCATGTCCAGTAATCTTCAGTATGCACCATATGTCCAAGCCTCGAACTTAGGGATAACACAGGCGAGCTACAGGTTTGGCTGTAACAACGTCCACATGAACCGCATCTGGCGGCCGCTGCTAGACTGTAGGAGTTCTTGCTCAGATCTTTCCAGTATACACGGTAGTATTAGCGCCAGTCCCACGCAGCGCCGGCAAATTCGCACTGTGCTTTATAGGGCGTAAAAGGTTACGACGAAGATAGACGCGGCTAGAAAAATACATGCCAGGAAATCCGAGGTTAGAAGAAGGACACGAGGCTAAAAGAAAGATAACGAGGTTACAAAACAGATAACCCCTGCTTCATAGGCCAAGCGTATGCAACGTCTGACGGTTGCGGCTTGCAGGCGCGCGATCAAGAAAGACTTTCGGTTTGCTACGCTGTCGTCGTGGAACGGCATGAGTGCCTTGTCCAAGCATGGCGAAAATTGTGAAAGCCTTTGTCTATCTGAGCCAGGCTCCAATCTTTATTTTTCCGGTCCTTCCTACAGTTCTGCGGCTGTTACAGGAGTGATTTCATCAGTACTAGTAGGTGCCTTGGTCCTTTAGGGAGCGGTAAGCCTTGGACTATGTGGCTATACGTCGCGATCCGGGTGGACAATGCTCTCAAGCGCGCTTGTGACGATCCGTGATTGGCTTTGTAGGCCAGCGGCAAAACGGGCCATGTGTAACTTTCTCGAGCCACCAAATCAGACAAAGCTTCAGTCGTTCAGATTTCAGGTATAGATGCCTGTGCGGCAAGGGAGCCTAGTTGCATGGACGTAGCGAAGAGCGCTCTCTGTGGCAATTTTCTTATTTCCCTGTCCTCTAGGGCCTGAATGGCCTGAATCTTCTTCTGGAATACCCGTCGCATCTCGCGGAGTGATTTTATTTTAACTAACTAGTGTATCTGATCGTCGAGACGACTTAGGGACTGCCTTTCAGTCTAGTCTGTGCTCTTAGGCTGCGGTGTTCTCCAAGAAGTACCTGTTGCGAAAGCGTTAATCCGTTATTCAGCTCTCCGGGATTCGCCAGGTATAGGTCCTTTGAATGCAGTGCCCTAGCCGGTAAGAGCACGGAGAGGGTGTTTGATGTTCATCTATTGGTTTGAGTGAGTTTGATTTAACAGCTCGTTCTTGTCCTGGTACTGCGCAGACTGTGGCGCCATGGGAGATGGTGCCGGCCCCCCATCGGCCACAGCGCCTTTTCATCGCTGCAAGTGCTATTGTCATCGGCGTGCGCTCCGAGCACGCCGATGCATCAGAAAGCCATCAGGAGGTTCGCCGAGAGTTGGCATGGCTTCTTTCGGAGCAAATCGTCGCTCCAGCTCAGCGTGCATTGGCACCGAAGCCGAAAGAGATGTTCACCACCATGAGGTTCGTTGGGACACTGCGCTGTGGCGGCTCATGGTGTGCCACGGCCTCAACCTTGCGCAGCCTTCGGCTTCGAAGTGCCGAGGATATCTTACAGAAGATATATGAAAGCCAGAACCCGTCCAGTTGCGAAAATGCCCGCTACATGGTGTACCACGACGATAGGACAACATCTGGATTTGGCTGGAACGCCTTCATCCTTTTTGGTGCCTTTTTACACGCTTTTTTGGAGGAGCGCGTCCTCGTAGAAGCCGCTGCAGTCACAGACCGTGACCACACGAAGTGGCACCAGCGATGGTGCAGTGACCCGCCCCATTCTCTGAAGTGCTATTTTCAAAGCTGGAGCAGGTGTGAGCGTTCAGACCTGGTCGCCAAAGCCATCCGGCAGGATTTGTCCACTCTTCCAGACTGGCAGAATGATGTCGACGCAGGCAAGCAGAATTCATCGTGCACTTGCAACGAACGGCAGGTTCTTTGGCGAGCATCGCAAAGAAGTGACGAGGCCTTTTTCCCCAGCATTGTCTCGAAAGGGAGATTATGGTGGTATGCTGCCATGGTTCGCATCCTCATGAATCCTCTTCCATGGCTCCAGGATGCAGCCGATCACTTTGCGAACGTGCACGGAATAAGCCATCGTCCATTTGTTGTTGCAGCAGTTCGGCGCGGCAACAAGAGTGTTGAGGTGCCCGACATCGAGATGCGCGAGTTTACTTCGCAGCTCAAAATCTTCAAGGAACATTACGGCATCGCAGATGTTCTGCTACAAACCGAGGACCATGCGGAACTGCAGTTTCTGGAGCGATGGTGCGGATATCAGGGACTCCGACTTCATTACACGGCCAACGAACGCACTGGACAGGATCGATTCAGTACTCGTTTCTGGCAGTCTCAAGTGAACATGACTGAGGAAGGCCGCGTTGCTGCATTGAATTTGGTGATTGGCAGCAAGGCTGTCGCCATTCTTGGCTCCTTCCATTCTGCCTGGATGAAAGTTCAACCAGCCTTTATGATGGCTGTTCAATGGAAGGCAGTCTTGGTAATTGGCCTTGCTAGCCAGGACTACCAGAATTATGGTTCCCTCGTGGGTGAGGAGGCCGAGGCACAACAACTGTTACGGCCTGGCGAAATATTCTCCCCTGTGCCATGGCTGCTGTGATGCGCTCCAAACTTTCCGCCCAGCTTGTAGACAGATCCGATCTGTCTCGGTCGCTGTGGATGAGCTGCTGGACGGTAACTTCCTCGCGTGCAATATCCGCGTGTGAGGACGTGAAGCAAAAAGATCCCGTGCTTGCCTTCCCTATAGAACCAGTCTTGAGTGGTTCCTTGCGAGGCACGTCTGACAGCCAACGAAGCCTTGACCCCGGTCACGAAACTCAAGAGTAAGCTGAGTGCACGTATTCTGCCAGAGACAGCCGCAAAGATTAAGGACGTATATGCCCATCTTGGACGAGCTGAGCCAGAGCCTGCGCGAGGCAACTGAGACTTGACGGCATTCATTGGTTCGTTAGTTCTTTACGCAAGAAGAGGCGGAACTCTTGTCTCCCAGGTTGGTCTCACGCTCTGCAGCCTCCGGAAGAAACCAATCAACATTGCTGTGTTAGCTGTTAGCTTTGGCAGCGTTTGGAAACTTGCAGTTCCGGGGCGTGTACCTTCGACCGTCGATCTGCACAAAAAGTATCACTAAATTCACTAGTCACTAGTCGATGAAGTGCGCAGGCCCGGAGTGTGTTTTTGTTGAACGGCGGTCTAAGTACCCTTTGCAGACCATTTCCGCAATCACTAAACAGAGAAAATCAGCTTCAGCGGCATGGCTGGGCATTGTTGTTGCCACCATCAGAATCAGAATTAGTGGTCAAATAGGCGTAATGGTCGTGTGACTACTCGGGTCCTGCATACAGACTCCCTGCAGTGCTCGTCGTAGACTGGAGCGATCCCAGGATAAACTCCTCGATGCGAGGCAACGGGGGATTCGGTATTCGCCCAAAGACACAGGCGGGGAGCTGGGGTTTATGACTTATAAGGTGTTAGGGTTCGAAGGCATGTTCAAAGTCTAGCCGGAAAGATATGTCGACGGACCAGAGGAGCTATACAGCCATTCGTGACACACTTTGGTTTGCCTCGTTGAGCGTCGCTTCTTCGCACGACAGATTGGCATTGGCCAGTTCTCCCGCCATTGGCGTTTTGTGTTAGGCCGCGCTATTTAGTCCTGCAAAGGTCTTCTGGACACCCTGACGAAGTTCTACTTGGTCTTGCCGGCAGAGGAACGGAGCTCCGCTTTGCCATTCGTGTTTCTGACCGGCCACATCGGCCACCCAATGCTGACACCGAAGCCAGTCGAGTCTGCACATTCAGACTTCCTACCTGATGTGATGCCTGAGCCCTTCAAACCTGCAGGGCAGTCTAGCCTTGCTATGCGGCGGCAGGAGCAGACTCGGTTCACCAGACTGAAGCAGTGGCTGAATCCCCTCAATCTCTTCAGACCCTGGACTCAGTGACAGTGTCGGGTTCTTTGAAGCTTTAGCACTTGGTTTTGACAGCTCATGGGAAGCACGAGCAGTTGAAAAGCACTGCAACTGTGGCAACTATAGTGTGCCACATGGCGGAACGGAAAAGATAGCCTTCACAGTTCTGAACCACCGAGACTCCGGCCGTCCGGCCCTGAAAGGCAGGAGCCCTGCTAGACCCAAAGCCCGACACGAGAAGCCAGCGACATCGGCCCGCTCCGGCACTTCCGAAGATCGCAACATCTAAGGAACCAAGCTGCGAATTGATAAGCTCGTCGAGCAAGACTCGACACCTGGTCACTTTCTGGATTTGTTGGACTTGCACTGGCCTATGGTTGGCCCTGCCGAAGGCAAGCGCTGTTGGTCCCAGAAGTCTCGCCAAGGGAGCCCTCATAGCCTCCAAGCCCGGGTCCTTTCTTGCAGGGTGCTCGCAAGTGTGCCGTTTCATACCTGTTACCTCGTCGCACATCTGGTTGTGATGGTCACTTATTGCCTATCTTTAACTATATATTGCAGAAGACTCACCAAACCGTCTTGCGGCTTGCATCCACAGCTGGTTCAGCATCTCAGGAAGGATTGCTCCTTCCGCAAGGCTCGGGATGGTCTTAAAGGGGGGTGTAAAGTGCACAGTAAGGCCTCAGGATGGACCTTCGCTGCTGGCCTCACCACTCTAATCATCGTGTGTTGAAATCGGGCTGCTTGAACAATGTTTATTCACAGGATGCAGGAACACTGCCACAGACGGCATCGGTTAGAAGTATGTAATCACATCCATGTTTCGCGAAGGTTGAGAAACGTAGCTTGAAGCCAGACGCTGAGTGCCAAAAGCTTAGGGTAAATTTACAAACTAAACTGCATGTATTCATGGAACGGTTTGGGGCAGGTGCGATGTGGCTTTCTTGAACGGCTTGCCATACGTGGCCGCTTGCGGGCTATAATAGCTTATTCACCATCAATGTGACGCTGCGACAGCTATCTTCTTGATCAATCAGCCAGATGCTCGGAAGGTTCGCAAAATGACGCAAAGCGGCGTCTGGAAGGAGTTCCAAAGCTGCTGCAGCTCATCAGAAGGAAACAAGTGGAGGCTCGAAGTTTAGAGACCTCGCGACTTGATCAGCCCCATACAACGTAAACCCATCTCGAAGCTCGAGTTCCGACACTCTTTGCAGCCTGAGCCAGTGCATCACCTACTTCTGCCAGCTGGAGCCGTAGACATAGCCTATATACTTACTTTGTAGCACGAGCCAGGCGCACTGCCCGCAATTATTGATGAATAGCAAGCTATTAGTTATAGGCGAGCTGCAGTCGCCAGCAACACAAGTATGCACCCAGCAGGCAGCAGCCTTTCCGGATGACTTGACTTAAGCGGCAACCCCTCAGCTGCTTCCATCAGTTCCTGTACAATCTCCCGCTCCGATGCGCAGAGAGGCGCAGAGAAAGTAGTCAAACTTATTGCAACGTCGCATAGGCTGCGAGGTTAAGGTGAGGTTTTTGCAATGACCATGCCTCCCGAGCCCAACGGCCTTTCTGAGGCTTGTCACACCCTATATAAACCCTGAACCGCTATGCTAATGCTCCTGATATTGTATGAAGAGCTCTGAGGTACCGAGCGGACAAAGCAGGTTTTGGGTTGGGAGACCAACATCCGCAACCTGGCAAACATCAGTATAGAGTATATGGTATGCAGTACTCGTATATCATAGTTTATTACAGTATTTAACATATAGTATATAGTACCTAAGTATACGGCATATAGTATAGCACAAAAGTAGATAGCACACAAGCATATGCAGATACTTCTGGGTAGTTTTCTGTTGAATGCTTTCCCGGGCAAGCACCACGATTGTCATCATCGTGGTTGGTATTCTTAAACTCCTGTTGCGGTGTTCTTTTTCGGAGGGTACGTGTTGCTGCTACTGCTCACCGGCAAGAGGTTATTAAATATTCCTACTTTTGATTTTGCATGAAATGCACGGCCATGAAACGGTCACCGCTACTCTTACCATAATTATGCTGATAAATGTTAGCATGTGTTATGAATATTCACTGTGCAAACCGAAGTATTCACCGTCTCAGTTTCCGGGTTACACAGTCTCGAGCCCACTGCTTCCGGTTTGGGGTCCAGCATCTACCATGCACGATATCAAGCATTTAATCGCGTTTCGAGCTGTAGCTTGCGATTTCGGATTCAAGGTTTGTTCATAAGTCATTGTGCAAACCAGCTTTGCGCATCCTCGCCACCTCCCGCGGGCAGGCACAACGCTGGTCAGAAAGGGCTTTGCAGTAACGAGACAAGTAATGATAACGAGTCCTCTGCAGGAAACGTCAACATCCAGATCAACAAGATTCTGGACATGATGAGCCCAAGCTGTGAAGAAAGATGGTGCTCATTCTTGGGATACATATTGGGATCATCATTCACATTCTCACCGTGCCCGCAGCCTATCCCCACAGCGGCTTGAGCAAACCTGACAAAAGAGTCGAATTCTGCGAAGCACTGTTTGGATTCTCAGGTTTGTGGGGGAGTCTATAGGTGCCAATCTCGGAGACAAGTGCTTAAAAGACCGCGGTTTGGCCTAAGCAGTTGAGGGCACTCATGTTGGGAGTTGCCACTTATACCATGCTGGTCGGACAGTTGCGAAGCGCTACACAAAACCTAAAGGACTGTTCAGGTTTCCATGTGTTCGTTCTTGCTTCAGGCATACAAAGGAGGCGTAGTTTGGGCATCCCCCAAAGGGGTTTTGGGGCGACTGCAGGAACCACGCTGTGTTGATGGCTGTTGGGTACACTGGTGAGTTTCGCACTCGAGCGGGATTTTGTTTGTATTGCCCTTTATGATGATGTAGCTGATAATGGCAGTTAAGAGAACGCCTATAAACCAAAGAGAAGCGACTGTGATAGGCCGCTGCCTGCGAGCCAGGAATTATGTGAAGGGTAACTTCGTCACCCGCAACATCCGCAAAGCCTACAGAGCTGTGAGGCCGAATTTGTTGAATCCTGGTGTCGGCCAGCGTTCTTTCGCCAGATTATTCGTCAGCTTTGCCGCGATAAAAGTTTAGGTTTGACGCTGTCTACAACATGGGAGTTGTGGGAACCATTTTTACATGCTGCGGTGGGGGGCACGATGCCTTTCTCAGGCATAAATGTGGAAAGCATGAGAATCCTGCTTCGAGCAATGGTTTCTGACAGAATTTCCCGCTAGGGCCTTTCCGAAGCCTGCGCTCCAAACCTCGGAGCTCCAGGAGCCGGAGAGCAACTTATGAGATCCCAGAGGCCCGTCCTGAGGAAAACAAGATCTTGAAATCGTAACACTGCAATGGCTAGGTTCACCCTCCCCACAGTTCTTAGGTGCAAGAGAGGAACACAGAGCAAGGCGAGCTTGTGGGGACCGGTGGGCCCAACCAAACCCCTGAAAGTCTATGTGCACAATGAGAGTGAGAGACTGCCAAATTACGGAGGGGCGCGTTCGTTGGTGCGGACCGCAAGCGTGGCATCTGGGTGGAGGAGGAGGCCCGGTTTCGAATGCATCCCTTGACCCAGCTCGAAAGGTCTCGAAACCCAAAAGCTGAAAGCTGCAAGATATGGACGTTGATGATAGGGAGAGTTAAGAAAAGATTGGAGACAGGCGGCCACCTCGACTGCTGTTCTACGGTACCCTTGAGGTGTAGCCTCGTAGCCTCCTTGAAACATCCGAAGTACAAGAGCCCAGCACAAGAGGCCACGGCCCTATTCATCATCCCAGGCATTCCATATCGGAAGGGTTTAGGCTGTCGGGATGTTATTCCTGCATAGGGCAGGTGCGGCAGTCGAAAGCCGCAAAATTGCCGGGTTCCGGGGGGACCCACAGATCCTTCAGATCGAGACTTGGGGGTTCCCGGTGTTGCAAAGCATAGGGGTTCGGAGAGTACAGCAGATTGTTGCAGGCTGCCGACCTCCTCAACCATACAGCGTTGCTTGGCCAAAGCACGCCAAATAAATTGGAGTTTCCCAAGCGATTTGACTATTGCCGTATATCGGATCTGCGCGTTGTCAGTTGTAGCTGCATGCCTGCGGTAGCGGGCTGCATGCTTAGCGACAGGCAACGAAACACATGTCCTAGGCGCCTTATAGGAAAGCTACTTGTGGCGCCGCCTTGACAGACATTGGTGAAAAGGTTTGGTAAACAGCGGAACGCCGTGGTAAGAGGGCTCGCAACTTTTCGGCTTCCAACCAATTGGGCCAGCCAAGCATGATCAGGCAAACAGCCGCATTCCAAAGTACCAGCTCGGTAGAATGCCATAGCTCATGTTGGTTGGCTTCACCAAGCTTGCGTCCTCAATCGTGCCTGGCTCTGCAACCCAGGAACGACTTCCGAGAAGCTTTGGAAGAGGCGTCCATTACGTACTGCTTTGCAGTGCTCAAGGGCCCAGGGGCTGATAGGCTCCTAGGCATCTCAAGACCAAGGCTTTCTCAAGGTTGCAGGCTATTTAGGAGCTGTTGGAGCTGCATGGAGCTGCAGTGCAATGCAAGCACCCCTTCCGCGCCTTCTGTTTACTCTAACCCAGTGGAAGGCCGGTAGCACCGGGTTCCCCTCGACATCTCTGAGGTTTCTCGAGGGTTGAGGAAGCTTATAAGGGTTCTGAGGCCTCGGATTAAGGTACGGGCAGGATCATTTTGAGCCTTGCCGCTCTGTGCCACTCTGTCATCGCCACTTCTTTGGGAGTAAATAATATAACTGTGATGAGCATCCTGATCCGGTACCCAACGTGCTGAGGCCTCTCAACCCCCCCCCCACCCGTTGCTGCAGGAGCGGCAGATCAGCTCCAGGCGAGGATGGTGTAGCATTTCTTTTGAGTTGATGGTCTGGGGAAAGCGGATGCAGGTTTCGGTGGATGAGATATTTAGAGGCGATGTGCGGGCTAACATCTACGGGCTCATCCACGAGCTCTATGAGAGAGGCTTGATACTGTTTTAGGCCCTTGACTTCGCCTTGCAGGCGACGATTTCTGATGTCGGCCCCGCTTTGCATTTTTTCAGTCCGAGCACGCGTCGACTCTTAGCATTCGAAACGCCGAGAGCCTTTGACCTAGACTCTCTCTCTCTCTCTCTCTCGCTTTCCGTCTCCCCATACATAAATATATGTATATATACATATATATATATATATAGAATACAACACTAGATAAACAAGCAAATAAACAAGTTAATATACGTACTTGTACATAATACATACATGTAGACATTTTACATATACATATACACACCGTACGTACGTACGTATGTATGTATGTATGTATGTATGTATGTATGTATGTATGTATGTATACATGTATTTATGTATGTACATCTGTATATAATAAACGGACATACCTACACACTCACATGTGTATGTAGTTATGTGTATGTGGTTGAGTATATATATATATATACATGTATATTTGATGTATGCTGGAGTAGATGCTTCGTCTCTCAGGCGGGGTGCGAAGTACAAGCGGCTGACGGAGGAGATGTTCAATTCCATTGGCACCTCAATCGCCGGGTTTGTTTGTAAGTGTGCACACATCTGTACGAGCTTATGCGTTTGCCTCTACCTTTGCGCAAGTAGAGAGCCAAACCAAGACCTCCCGCAATGACCTGCATGACATGCAACCTCTCAGCAAGCCTGAAATCAAGCGTCCCTTCAACGTGTACGAAGACAGAAAGGAAGACAGATAGAATGACCGAGCCGGTGCAGGAACGGTAAATAATTGTTTCGACATGTTCATATATACATGCACTACTTAGGTGTATGTGTATATGTATGTGTTTGTATACAAATAAATCATATATATATATATGTATACATATACAGAACATATGTGTATATATTTATGTATGTATGCATGTATGTATGTATCTATGTATGTATGTATGTATGTCTGTATGTATGTATGTATGTATGTATGTATGTGTGTGCATGTATGTATGTATGTATGTGTGTATGTGTGTATGTAGGTATGTGT